CCCCCCCCCCCCCCCCCCCCCCCCCCCCCCCCCCCCCCCCCCCCCACCCCCCCCCCCCCCCCCCCCCCCCCCCCCCGCCCCCCCGCGATTTTGAACTATCTCAGAAGTGATGATGCGGCACTTTCACGAAGCGGGAACATTTCTTTTCGGCCAGATCGGCGATTTCTAAACTGATAGAACGAGATGCAATCGAAAATCTCTCATTTCTTTGTTATTATGCTGCCTACTCGGTTGATTCAATTAAACAAGTCTTGCTTCTAAACCTTTCAAGGTCTTTTATGAAAGAGTTCTGCATGTAGCATCTCTATTTATTTTGTTTCTTTCAAGAAACACTGATGTTTTACCAATTTATTTATTTGTTTTAGGCGCACCTAATCCAATGTATTCAATTCCATCTCCATCATCATTCCAATCGCTCTATTCATCTGGCTTAGCACAACAATGGTCAGCACACCACCATTATTTCATTATAATAATATTTTTTTTTATTCTATATATTTAGGCGTCAAACAATGTTTCCATTTGGCTTTCCGCCCGGTTATCCGCTAGCACAATTTAGTCCGTCAATTCTATCACAATCATCTCTGGGATCATTATCACCACTATCTCTATCACCATCATCAGCAGCAGCTGGAGCACATCATCGAATGGATAATTCAGGAAGGTATGTTGTTCATGAATAAATATCAATAAATCTCTAATTCTATATATTTTTATAAGACTCACCAGTATGTTAGAACAGAAATTACTTGATGAAAAACCAAAAAAACCTCATATTAAAAAGCCATTGAATGCCTTTATGTTATTTATGAAAGAACAACGAGCAAAAGTGGTATCCGAATGTACACTGAGAGAAAGTGCAGCAATTAATCAAATTCTAGGAAGAAAGGTATATCTTAAATCGAAAAAAACATTCTTTTTGTTAATATATATAAATATTTGTGTGTTTTAGTGGCATGAATTAGATCGAACTGTTCAACAAAAATATTATGATATGGCACGAGATGAACGTCTGAGACACATGCAATTATATCCGGGATGGAGTGCAAGGGACAATTATGGTGTGAGAAAAAAACGTGGTGGAAAAGGAAAAAAACGAGAAAAAATATCTGGTGAAAATGGAGGTACATAAGAGCTAGTTTTATACTCATAGTAACATTATTCCATTAGACATATCGTATGTGAAGTTCATCAGTCGTGTAACCTATACTGGAACTGTCTCTATGACTTTTATGTTTTAAACATATGGCTAAAAGTACTGAGGTTGTCTCAACTCTACATAGGTATTACTAATGAATAACAGGTTTGAGCATTCTTGTATATGATTTCCCAAATTTGTACCAGATACGACAAGAAGACAGCTGTTAAGATCTTGATAAATACGTAACAAAGCATGTATTCGATGTCTCTCGTTAATGAACTTAACGATAAGTTGTGAGAGAATTCAGCAAATTATCTTAACTTTTTATCTAATAAGTAACTGCATTATAAGAACGTGTTGTTTGGACGATGTTCAAATTTTTGAGAGAAATTAGTCTTCTTAAAAACTTTTTACTCAAAATCAGAAAATGCTGAAAATATTCGATAAAAATGTAATGTGTAACGTTGAACCTGACCCTGGTATAGAAATGATAGATATTTTGAATATCGATAGTATAACGTAGGTACTAGTGTATGTGAGCCTGAACAGAAAAAACACAAAAATCATTTATTCTCATCAAGTTTTGAAGTTAGTGTTTTGTAATTGCAGTTTTTGTTGAATTTAGAATGTGTTAATCAGAAAAAATGTCGCGCACGTTTTGGTTTGGATCAACAAGGACAGTGGTGTAAACATTGCAAGTAAGTGTCTTCGCTTAATTTCACCTATACTCAAAATATAATTTACTCCTTGCAATTTTTAGGCGAAAGAAAAAATGTATTCGTTTTACAGAAGAAGGTGGAGATGGTATGGGTTCCGTGAATGGTGGCAATGAGACAACGTCAAACGATGATGATGATCTAAGTGGAGATGACAACGATGATACCGGTG